CAAGACTTCACCGATGTTGGCCGTGGTTGGGACTCACACTCGCGCCTCTGATTGCTCGGTCAGCATATGTACGGTGCAAAAGAAGTTCAACATACTTACTCGGGCGGCCGGGTACAATAGCGCAGTAAGAGAACCACAGCGCCACTATTCTCCCCCCTACCCTAACAGTTACTTGTGCCCCCAAATTTTATTTTTAAAACCCACAGCTTGTTATTGCAAGAATCGATTCTCACTTGACTACCGCACCATCAGAGCCAGTAAATGACCAAGCCACGTGACAGAGAAAGTGGAGAGGTGGATCAAGTGGGAAGATTTTTGCTGCGTTGCACTGCAGCAAAACAGGTATCGAGGTCACAGGGTTATAAGCAAAGGTTAGGTGGCCCAGAGTAAACACATGCAATGCCGAAAGTGATTGTAGTCTGCCTTGCTTACCTCTTATTGGAAAGCAAGATTGGCAGTATTACACAGCACAATGTAATTCTGACATGGAAATCAGATAACACTGCATTGTCGTAACTGTGGTAAATTTATTAAATAAACTTTATAAACTAAACTATTATCCATTTAGTAGACACTGTATTTCAGTAAATATTTATTTGGTAATTGGATAAGAGGAGATTGTACAACTGCCAAAGCTGATTACTCACGTGGCCTTACAGTAAAGCGAGTGGTGTTTTAAAGCAACGTGGCGCCGCGTGCTTATTTTTGCGTTCACAAATGTGCAACCTGCCATCATTATTCATCAATGGACATGACCAATCCACTGCTGGGCAAAGTCTTCCCTCAAGCGCTGGCCGTCGCTCGCGGGTCTTGTGATGCCACGACCCATCTTGCAACTCGGCACGTGGTCGGCTCGAGGGCTGTGCCATGGCTCTGGGCGCTACGCTGTGGGGGGAGGGTGATGCTCAACTTACAAAGTCTCACAATTGCCTCCTTCCCTCGGTTGCTAAATTCGCACCTCGTTTAACAAAAACAATGCCGAAAGTTGCACAAGTTAATAATTGATTCATCGTTAAATCCTGTCAATCTGTAATTTTTCTTACATCAATTCTGGCTTGGACATAAAAATGTAAAAAGTAATTTCAAACAGAAGGACCATTTTCTATGCACAACAGGACTGTTGGTGTTTTATTGGTGATGATAATTAATACCAATACCCGCCATTCATCACTAAGTCACATCACCACGGTGCCTGTGCCAGGCTAAGTGCACTTTGAGGCCATGTGAAGTGTCAAAGGCTCACTGACAGGTCTCAGGACAGACCCAGGTGCCATGGGTTGGCTGCCTGAGATGACCGGGAGATGCACACCAGCTGCACCCCCTACGGAGCCAACTTGCTCCATTTTATCCGCCCGGCGCTCCGCTCGTTGTTGTGAGCGTCGCTCCTCTGCCCTCCATTCTTGTTGGAGGGCGACTGCCTCCAACTGCCCAGGAGCTTCCTTCACAAGCCTCAACCACAGAGGTCAATCTCGACACCGTTGGTACCAGCCATTGGCAAGTCCGTTCAGCGCCACATTCTCCTGTACCGCATCAGTCCATCTCTTCTCTAGCCCGTGCCGCACCCATTTTGCCCCCTCTATCTGACCAAACAGAAGCTGCTTGGGCGTGCGGTGAGTGGGCTCTCCTGCTACATGACCCAGGCAAGGTAGGCTTGCCTGATGGAGGGGCTCACCAATGTGCCCGGATCGTTCAAAAATCTGTGTGCTCCTCACTCAATCAAGCCAGGTTAACTCTAGGATGGATCGTAGGTAGGCCAGCCTGAATGGTTAAAATCGGTGCCGATGTTCCTCCGAAGAGTCCGTGTGTCACAAGCGTAGAGAAGAGAGGGCATGACGGTGGCCAAGAAGACCCGGAGCTTCGCATGGAGCGAAAGGCCAGGTAGCTGTTATTGAACAGTTCGGGCTGAAACGACTCAGAGTTGGTGGGCAGTCCTCGACGTGGGTGGAGTAATAAACGGGCACAGCACACGGGAAGTGAACCTGACGTAGAGTAAGTAGTGTGCTCGTTGCAAGAATAAGTTTTACCCTGTCTGGCAATAAAACATCAGGTGTTAAGATGTTACAACACCAAACAGATACCTTTTGCAAGGAATGATGTCTGCATGAACCACACACAGTACTTGTGGTGAGCATGCAAACACAAGCATGCTCTGGTAGTTTCGTGCATCGTCTTTGAAACTGATTGGCCACACCAGAGGCAACTTTCTTGACAGCCTAGTCTCAGTGTTAGGCCAGAGAACGCCAAAAGGCGAATAGCACAACGACAATGACACTATCAGGACATTTGAGAGCTGGGGTGAGCAGCTACATCACTGACTGCCAGAGCATGTGCTGTGTTTGCATGTTCACCACAAGTATGTGTGGTTCATGCAGACACCATTCATTGAAAAAAGGTTTCACTTTGGTTTTTTAACATATTAACACCGGTTTTGTTGCCCGAAAGGGTAAAACCTACTCTTATATATTGCTAGTGGCAATGGAGGGTGCCATGAAGTGTGGTGCTAGTGGTATATTATATATTATATTACAGAGTCAATGTTTCGTTGAGCACAGCGTGACCACGGCAGGGATGGTTGCTCACGTGACTTCCTTTACGATTCTCGTACCCACCGACATCACGTGATTAATCGATTCGCGGAATCGCCCCGTGTGTAACCCATTAACAAAACTCACGCTGCGGTCAATGCGTGGAATCGTTTGATCGGAAGAATCGAACATTTACGATTCAAGCAAAGTTTATTTTCCTTAAATTTTGATTTAAAGCTTTCGTGACTGCAGTAATTCATATTCTTAGTTCTTTCGGTAAAGTCACGTTGAAGGGAAACAACAAAATAATAATATATATAAAACAATAAAAAATTCTCACGACGTTTCGACCATAACACAAACGGTCGTCTTCAGGTGTGTTACACACCTTTTTTTTAGTTTTCTGGAGAAAATGTCTCGGGCTGCCCGCAGCACAGACGGGGAACCACAGACGGGGAACCACAGACGGGGAACCACAGCACAGGCGGGGAACCACAGCACAGACGGGGAACCACAGCACAGGCGGGGAACCACAGGCGGGGAACCACAGACGGGGAATCACAGCACAGACGAGGAACCACAGCACAGACGAGGAACCACAGCACAGACGGGGAACCACAGCACAGACGGGGAACCACAGCGGGGAACCACAGCACAGACGGGGAACCACAGCGGGGAACCACAGTACAGACGGGGAACCACAGCACAGACGACGAACCACAGCACAGACGACGAACCACAGCACAGACGGGGAACCACAGTACAGACGGGGAACCACAGCGGGGAACCACAGCACAGACGAGGAACCACAACACATACGAGGAACCACAGCGGGGAACCACAGCACAGACGGGGAACCACAGCACAGACGAGGAACCACAGCGGGGAACCACAGCACAGACGAGGAACCACAGCGGGGAACCACAGTACAGACGAGGAACCACAGACGGGGAACCACAGCACAGACGAGGAACCACAGCACAGACGAGGAACCACAGCACAGACGAGGAACCACAGCACAGACGGGGAACCACAGCACAGACGAGGAACCACAGCACAGACGAGGAACCACAGCACAGACGAGGAACCACAGCACAGACGAGGAACCACAGCACAGACGGGGAACCACAGCACAGACGAGGAACCACAGCACAGACGAGGAACCACAGCACAGACGGGGAACCACAGCACAGACGGGGAACCACAGCACAGGCGGGGAACCACAGACGGGGAACCACAGCACAGACGAGGAACCACAGCACAGACGGGGAACCACAGCACAGACGGGGAACCACAGCACAGGCGGGGAACCACAGACGGGGAACCACAGCACAGGCGGGGAACCACAGCACAGGCCGTGCACACAGGCGGCGACACCGTCAGCAGTACACGAGATTTGGTTTGATTCGCCAGAAAGACCGAGGCGGAACACATCCAGAGTACAACAACGGCAGCACAGGCGATGAAAATAATGAGAGCCACGGTCGGTGCAAATGACAGTGCAGACTACACAGGCAGTACATCATCTACAATACGGGGCAGTACATCATATACAATAAGGGCAGTACATCATATACAATACGGGCAGTGCATCATATACAATACAGGGCAGTACATCATATACAATACGGGGCAGTACATCGTATACAATACAGGGCAGTACATCATATACAATACGGGGCAGTACATCATATACAATACAGGGCAGTACATAAAATACAATAAGGGCAGTACATCATATACAATAAGGGCAGTACATCATATACAATACGGGCAGTGCATCATATACAATACAGGGCAGTACATCATCTACAATACGGGGCAGTACATCGTATACAATACAGGGCAGTACATAAAATACAATAAGGGCAGTACATAATATACAATAAGGGCAGTACATCATATACAATACGGGGCAGTACATCATATACAATACGGGCAGTACATAAAATACAAAGACCCCCCGTATAGCCTTCACAGACTGTAGGGGCAAGTGCTGTTAGCGAGCAGCACCTATGAAGGCCGGCACGGCACACGAGGAGGTGGGTGGCCAGAACCACGCACGGCCACCTTTGTCTCCTCAGTGGCGATGTTTTTACACATCGCACCAGGTACTCATTTTGAGGCCGAGTCGACCTAGGGGATGCCCAGGACCGGTTCAGATCATCGTCACCACCGGTGTTGGCCACGAGCAGAAAACGAACTGGGGTGGCCGGGTTCGTAGAACAGCGCACTAACCACTACACCAGCGCTCCCCACAGACACACAAACACAGCGCCAAACAAACACCCCCGACCCGCGTCTGTGCAGTGGCATCCTGAGTGTTGGCCGCGTCGCGTTCGACTCCACAATGGGGGGGGGGTGGAGGGGGTCACGACGAAACGTCGGTCAACATGGTCCGAGCCTCCCCCGCGGCGACTATCGCACGACAGGCCCGGCCGGGGTGAGGAAGGAACACGCCGTGTCGCCCCTTACCTTGGGAGACGTGAGGAGGGGGACAGTTTTTCAAGGCTCGACACCACCACGACGTCTTCCACTTGCCCTTGCTCGCCTGAAGCAACCAGCCGGCCTTCTGCGTTGATGATATATACACGGTGGCCCTGCCCCCCGCCCCCACCATCAACCACCTCCAGTGACATCATTTTGCGAAATTCGTGAGCATGACGTCATGTAGCCCATCGCGCAGGTGGTGTTGCGAGTGACGTCACGCGGTGGCGGCGATGTTTAAGATGCCAGTTATATTCATATTCTTTGGGTCTTTCGGTAAAGTCACGTAGATAGGTTCAATGAAAATAATAAAAATAAACTACGTTTCGATCACAACGCAAGCGGTAGTCATCAGGGTTCACCTCGTCTTCTTGTGCAGGGGAATTGAACTTTCAGGTCCGTTTCAATACGGGCAGAAAAACTATATTTTTGGTCTCTGTGTTTCTCCCTTGTGATGGGACGTTGGAGGATGAACGTTGAGATGTATAAGGGGCACGGGGTGGCCAATAAGGTCTGAATTGGTCTGTTATAAGGTAGGCAATGATAAGGGGCTGATCGGTATGCAGTTACCGTATCGACCAGATGGCAAGACGATCTGGATAGTAACACCCACCCAAGACCCCCACAACTACCGGATTATAAGACGCACCTTCCAAGACGCACCCCCCACTATTGATTTCACCACGCTGGTTAAGACAGGGAGCATAGAAGTGTGCAGTACAATGCTCGATTTTTTTAATGCACTGCCCTTTGCTGCCCACAATATTTAAGGCAACTGGCCACTACTGATGAGTGCCTTTTGCGGTGCCTTGCAAGGGAAATGGAACTAGCCGTGCGAGGCATCTTCTCTAGGCAAGCCTTGGCGATTGTCGAGCCTTTTCACGAGGATTCTGACAATGTGGCTGTCTGGCCAATGCGACGCGAAGGAACGTGAAGAATGCCTCGTGCGAGATGAAATTGAGAGAGTGTACATCAGGATAACATTCCCAACATCATCAGGATAACATCAGGATAACATTCCCAACACCATCAGGATAACATCAGGATAACATTCCCAACACCATCAGGATAACATCAGGATAACATTCCCAACACCATCAGGATAACATCAGGATACATTCCCAACACCATCAGGATAACATCAGGATAGCATTCCCAACATCAGGATAACATCAGGATAACATTCCCAACATCATCAGGATAACATCAGGCTAACCTCAGGATAACATTCCCAACATCATCAGGATAACATCAGGATAACATTCCCAACACCATCAGGATAACATCAGGATAACATTTCCAACATCATCAGGATAACATCAGGATAACATTCCCAACATCATCAGGATAACATCAGGATACATTCCCAACACCATCAGGATAACATCAGGATAGCATTCCCAACATCAGGATAACATCAGGATAACATTTCCAACATCATCAGGATAACATCAGGCTAACCTCAGGATAACGTTCCCAACATCATCAGGATAACATCAGGATAACATTCCCAACACCATCAGGATAACATCAGGATAACTTTCCCAACATCATCATCAGGATAACATCAGGATAACGTTCCCAACATCATCAGGATAACATTAGGATAACATTCCCAACATCATCAGGATAACATCAGGATAACGTTCCCAACACCATCAGGATAACATCAGGATAACATTCCCAACATCATCATCAGGATAACATCAGGATAACGTTCCCAACATCATCAGGATAACATCAGGATAATATTCCCAACATCATCATCAGGAGAACATTCCCAACACCATCAGGATAACATTCCCAACATAATCAGCCTAAGATCAGGATAACGTTCCAAACATCATCATCAGGATAACATTCCCAAAACCATCAGGATAACGTTCCCATCATCATCAGGATAACATCAGGATAACGTTCCCAACACCATCAGGATAACATCAGGATAACGTTCCCAACATCATCATCAGGAGAACATTCCCAACACCATCAGGATAACGTTCCCATCATCATCAGGATAACATTAAGATAACATTCCCAACGTCATCAGGATAACATCAGGAGAACATTCACAACATCATCATCAGGATAACATTCCCAACATCATCATCAGGATAACATCAGGAGAACATTCACATCATCATCAGGAGAACATTCCCAACATAAACATCAGGAGAACATTCCCAACACCACTCGGATGGCTTCGCGAGTCCATTATATGTACTGCCATCTCCTGGCCACGCCACGGGTTGTATCACAAATCTACACGAGGCAGCCCTCGTGGAGAAAGTGCCGGATTACTACAAATGTGTTGGGACAATTTGCAGGTATACAAACGTGAAACAAACAGTACTGTACAGCATTCATGCAATACGAATATATAACTCAGCTTGAAATTAATTTGGCAAATTCAATATTTAAAGTACAACAATTTATAGCCCCGTCAATACTCTTGCTGGGTGATGGCCTCCACGTGCCGTGTCAGTCGTGGGGGTTGTTTGACCATACTTCACCACGCTGGTTGGTGCAGGTTGACAAAACACATACAGTACCCAGGGAACAGGTTACACTTTATCGAGTACCTCGAGTGAAGGCGCTCAAGACATTAGATTGGTAACAGAAGTCACTCGGGTCGCCTGGGTCATAACACAGTGCATGGACCACAATGCGATTAAAAGATTAAAATATTTTAATTTGAAGCTTTCGTGACTGCAGGAATCCATAATCTTTGGTTCTTTCGGTAAAGTCACGTAGGTATAAAATAATAGATCACGACGTTTCGATCGCAACACAAGCAATAGTCATCAGGTGAGACAATTACAGCGGTAAAACTGCTGAAGCAATCGTCATCAGGTGAGACAATTACAGCGGTAAAACTGCTGAAGCAATCGTCATCAGGTGAGACAATTACAGCGGTAAAACTGCTGAAGCAATCGTCATCAGGTGAGGCAATTACAGCAGGAAAACTGCTGAAGCAATCGTCATCAGGTGAGACAATTACAGCGGTAAAACTGCTGAAGCAATTGTCATCAGGTGAGACAATTACAGCGGTAAAACTGCTGAAGCAATCGTCATCAGGTGATACAATTACAGTGGTAAAACTGCTGAAGCAATCGTCATCAGGTGAGAATTACAGCAGTAAAACTGCTGAAGCAATCGTCATCAGGTGAGACAATTACAGCAGGGAAACTGCTGAAGCAATCGTCATCAGGTGAGACAAATTACAGCAGTAAAACTGCTGAAGCAATTGTCATCAGATGAGACAATTACAGGCGTCAAACTGCTGAAGCAATCGTCATCAGGTGAGACAATTACAGCAGGAAAACTGCTGAAGCAATCGTCATCAGGTGAGACAATTACAGCGGTAAAACTGCTGAAGCAATCATCATCAAGTGATACAATTACAGTGGTAAAACTGCTGAAGCAATCGTCATCAGGTGAGAATTACAGCAGTAAAACTGCTGAAGCAATCGTCATCAGGTGAGGCAATTACAGCAGGGAAACTGCTGAAGCAATCGTCATCAGGTGAGACAATTACAGGCGTAAAACTGCTGAAGCAATCGTCATAAGGTGAGGCAATTACAGCAGGAAAACTGCTGAAGCAATCGTCATCAGGTGAGACAATTACAGCGGTAAAACTGCTGAAGCAATCGTCAGGTGAGACAATTACAGCGGTAAAACTGCTGAAGCAATCGTCATCAGGAGAGACAATTACAGCGGTAAAACTGCTGAAGCAATCGTCATCAGGTGAGGCAATTACAGCAGGGAAACTGCTGAAGCAATCGTCATCAGGTGAGACAATTACAGGCGTAAAACTGCTGAAGCAATCGCCATCAGGTGATACAATTACATCGGTAAAACTGCTGAAGCAATCGTCATCAGGTGAGACAATTACAGCGGTAAAACTGCTGAAGCAATCGTCATCAGGTGAGACAAATTACAGCGGTAAAACTGCTGAAGCAATCGTCATCAGGTGAGACAATTACAGGCGTAAAACTGCTGAAGCAATCGTCATCAGGTGATACAATTACAGCGGTAAAACTGCAGAAGAAATCGTCATCAGGTGAGACAATTACAGGCGTAAAACTGCTGAAGCAATCGTCATCAGGTGATACAATTACAGCGGTAAAACTGCAGAAGCAATCGTCATCAGGTGAGACAATTACAGCGGTAAAACTGCTGAAGCAATCGTCATCAGGTGAGACGATTACAGCGGTAAAACTGCTGAAGCAATCGTCATCAGGTGAGCCAATTACAGCAGGGAAACTGCTGAAGCAATCGTCATCAGGTGATACAATTACAGCAGGGGAACTGCTGAAGCAATCGTCATCAGGTGAGACAATCACAGCGGGGAAAACTGCTGAAGCAATCGTCATCAGGTGAGACAATTACAGCGGTAAAACTGCTGAAGCAATCGTCATCAGGTGAGGCAATTACAGCAGGGAAACTGCTGAAGCAATCGTCATCAGGTGAGACAATTACAGTGGTAAAACTGCTGAAGCAATCGTCATCAGGTGAGACAATTACAGCGGTAAAACTGCTGAAGCAATCGTCATCAGGTGAGGCAAATACAGCAAGAAAACTGCTGAAGCAATCGTCATCAGGTGAGGCAATTACAGCGGTAAACTGCTGAAGCAATCGTCATCATGTGAGGTAATTACAGAGGTAAAACTGCTGAAGCAATCGTCATCAGGTGATACAATTACAGCGGTAAAACTGCTGAAGCAATCGTCATCAGGTGAGACAATTACAGCGGTAAAACTGCTGACGCAATCGTCATCAGGTGAGGCAATTACAGCAGGGAAACTGCTGAAGCAATCGTCATCAGGTGAGGCAATTACAGCAGGAAAACTGCTGAAGTAATCGTCATCAGGTGAGGCAATTACAGCAGGAAAACTGCTGAAGCAATCGTCATCAGGTGAGACAATTACAGGCGTAAAACTGCTGAAGCAATCCTCATCAGGTGAGGCAATTACAGCAGGAAAACTGCTGATGCAATCGTCATCAGGTGAGACAATTACAGCGGTAAAACTGCTGAAGCAATCGTCATCAGGTGAGACAATTACAGCGGTAAAACTGCTGAAGCAATCGTCATCAGGTGAGGCAAATACAGCAGGAAAACTGCTGAAGCAATCGTCATCACGTGAGGCAATTA